TGAGCCGGGGGGGGGCTCCTTTGGCCCTTAATAGCAGAGACCACAGCACAGGGAGCACGGCTGCTTGCACAGCAGGACTGGGGGGGGCAGGAAATGATCTGGCTAGCCTGGGGTCAGCAAAACAGGGTCCATGTAGCCCCCCCCCACAACAACAAGGCTACTTCTGTGGCTACCTCCATGATACCTGGTGCCATATTCCAAAATCTGATCCTTCCCGCCCCGGAGACCTGGGCACAGAGGGTTTTTATTTTTTGTTTTGATTCTGGTTGATTTTATTATTATTATTATTACTATTATTATTATTTAAAGTAATCAAGAGAATCCTTATCACCCAAAAGTCCCCCCAAATCCAGGGGCATTTTCTGCCCTTCCCAGGCATGGCACAGGCAGGAACGGAGATGGAACCAGTCTCCCAGGCCTCCTGATGTCATCCAGTCTATTCAGCTGGAAAAAGCAGGTTGCCTGAGAGGCAGTTCCCACATTACTTTTTAACACCCTGGTCACATCTGTCTCCCTCTTTCTTTCTTTCTTTCTTTCTTTCTTTCTTTCTTTCTTTCTTTCTTTCTTTCTTTCTTTCTTTCTTTCTTTCTTTCTTTCTTCCTTTCTTTCTTTCCTTTCTTCCCTTTCTTTCTTCCCTTTCTTTCATTTCCTCTCCTTCCTTCCTATCTTTTCCTTCCTTCCTTGTTTTCTCCCTGTTCTTCCTTCCTTCCTTGTTTTCTCCTTGTCCTTCCTTCCTTCCTATATTTTTTTCTTTCCTTCCTCCTATCTTTTCTTTCCTCCTTTCCTCCTCTTTCCTCTCCTCTCTCCTTTCTTCCTTTCCTTCTGTCCTATCTTTTCTTTCTTTCTTTCTTACCTCCCTCCCTTTCCTCTCATCTCTCCTTCCTTCCTTCCTATCTTTTCCTTCCTATCTTTTCTTCCTCCTTTCCTCCTCTTTCCTCTCCTCTCTCCTTTCATTCCTTCCGTCCTGTCTTTTCTTTCCTCCCTTCCTTCTTTCCTCTCCTCTCTCCTTTTTGCCTTCCTTCCTTCCTATCTTTTTCTTTCCTTCCTTCCTATCTTCTTTCTTTCCTCCTTTCCTCCTCTTTCCTCTCCTCTCTCCTTTCTTCCTTTCCTTCTGTCCTATCTTTTCTTTCTTTCTTTCTTTCCTCCCTCCCTTTCCTCTCATCTCTCCTTCCTTCCTTCCTATCTTTTCCTTCCTTCCTTGTTTTCTCCCTGTTCTTCCTTCCTTCCTTGTTTTCTCCTTGTCCTTCCTTCCTTCCTATATTTTTTTTTCTTTCCTTCCTTCCTATCTTTTCTTTCCTCCTTTCCTCCTCTTTCCTCTCCTCTCTCCTTTCTTCCTTTCCTTCCTTCTGTCCTATCTTTTCTTTCTTTCTTTCCTCCCTTCCTTTCCTCTCATCTCTCCTTCCTTCCTTCCTCTCTTTTCCTTCCTATCTTTTCCTTCCTATCTTTTCTTTCCTCCTTTCCTCCTCTTTCCTCTCCTCTCTCCTTTCATTCCTTCCGTCCTGTCTTTTCTTTCCTCCCTTCCTTCTTTCCTCTCCTCTCTCCTTTTTGCCTTCCTTCCTTCCTATCTTCTTTCTTTCCTCCTTTCCTCCTCTTTCCTCTCCTCTCTCTTTCTTTCCTCCCTTCCTTCTTTCCTTCCTCTCTCCTTCCTTCCTTCCTTCCTTTCCTTCCTTCCTTCCTTCCTTCCTATCTTTTCTTTCCTCCTTTCCTCCTCTTTCCTCTCCTCTCTCCTTTCTTCCTTTCCTTCCTTCCTTCCTTCCTTCCTATCTTTTCCTTCCTTCCTATCTTTTCTTTCTTTCCTCCCTTCCTAGAGGAGTTGTCTGGGGAGGGGATCCTTGCACTGCCACTCTGGGAAGTTGTGATTTTGGGAGGCCTCTGGCTGCCCCCTACCAGGACCCCTGCATGGCGAGGGTGGGATAAGCAAGGCGGCAGAGTCAGGCGAAGGGCCGGAGGCACCCTTCCTTTGTCCCTGGGAGAGTTTCCCCACCCCCACCAGCCCGACCTGCGATTTCTCCCTCGGGTCCAGTGCAGAGGGAAGGGCAGCCAGGAGACCTGCTAAATGCACTGCAGGCGAGCGAGGCAGAATGGCCGGATGTTCTCTAGACATCGTGTTGATTTCAGTTTTATCTGCAGGTACGCCTGTCGTGTGTGGGTTGGAGAATTGCTTTTATTCATACAAAGGCCACAGGGCTCTCACGGCCTCCCTCCCTGGGCAACTCTAGAAACGCGTTGGCAGCCAAAGAGGGCGAGAGAGTTGCACGGAGGGGTCAAAAGATCGGCCTCCGGGGGGTAGCGAAGGAGAGGGTGGCGGGCATCAGGTGTATGGATTTCTTTCCTGCAGCCGATCAACCCAAGAGGGGAATTCCTTTGGGATGAGCGAGGTTCGTTTCCACAGCAGATGCTTCACTGACTCTGAGGAACACCTTCCGCCTTGAGGTCCCAGCCCCCCCCCACAAGAAGTGGTCGTGTGTGTATGT